GGCAGATGTCCCCGCCCTTTGATCGACGCTGGTCGTCTATTTCCCTTGAGACCTGCTTCTTACCGTCCTCCCGTACTGGGAGACAGTGTCCCCCGCTCTTGTTGATCGGCGAGTCCGTCATCTTTCCCTTTGAGACCTGCTTCTCGTCTCTCCGTTCTCTCGGAGACCAGTGTCCCCGCTCCTTTGATCGGGCACAGTCCTCTCTATCTCCAGTCCTTCTTGCCGTCTCTGTCCTGAACCCTGGTTTGCTGGACTCTTGAATGCGAACTCTTTCTGTCTCCGCTCATCAGGACGAGGGTTGCCGCGCTTTGATCGGCAGCACGTCCGCTTCTCATCCACAAGCCTTCTTGACCGCTCTGTTCCTTGAAAACTGGTTTGACATGGACTCTTGAGCGAGTCTTGCTGTCTCCGTCTCAGACGAGGGTTGCGCTCCTCTTTTCGGCGACGTCCTCTCTATCCACAAAGTCCTTCCTGCCGTCTCTGTTCCTTGAACCTGGTTTGCTGGATCTTGAGCGAAAGCTCTTCTTGTTCCGTTCTCATAGACGAAGGTTGCCCCCGCTCCTTTGATCGGCCGCTCGTCCGTCTCTATTCTCAAAGTCCTTCTTGCCGTCTCTGTTCCTTGAAACCTGGTTTGCTGGATCCTTTGAGCAAAGCTCTTTCTGTCTCCGTCTCAATAGACGAGGGTTGCCCGCTCCTTTGATCGGCCGCTCGTCCGTCTCTATTCTCAAAGTCCTTCTTGCCGTCTCTGTTCCTTGAAACCTGTTTTGCTGGATCCTTTGAGCGAAGCTCTTTCTGTCTCCGTCTCAATAGACGAGGGTTGCCCGCTCCTTTGATCGGCAGCATGTCCGTCTCTTTCCCTTGAGACCTGCTTCTTCCGTCTCTCCCGTCTCTGGAGACCAGTGTCCCTCGCTCCTTTGATCAGCAGCATGTCCGTCTCTTTCCCTTGAGACCTGCTTCTCCCGTCTCTCCCGTCTCTGGAGACCAGTGTCCCCCGCTCCTTTGATCGGCAGCATGTCCGTCTCTTTCCCTTGAGACCTACTTCTTCCGTCGCTCCCGTCTCTGGAGACCAGTGTCCCCCGCTCCTTTGATTGGCAGCATGTCCGTTTCTTTCCCTTGAGACGTGCTTCTTCCGTCTCTCCCGTCTCTGGAGACCAGTGTCCCCCGCTCCTTTGATCGGCAGCATGTCTGTCTCTTTCCCTTGAGACCTGCTTCTTCCGTCTCTCCCGTCTCTGTAGACCAGTGTCCCCGGCTCCTTTGATCTGCAGCATGTCCGTCTCTTTCCCTTGAGACCTGCTTTTTCCGTCTCTCCCGTCTCTGGAGACCAGTGTCCCCCGCTCCTTTGATTGGCAGCATGTCCGTTTCTTTCCCTTGAGACGTGCTTCTTCCGTCTCTCCCGTCTCTGGAGACCAGTGTCCCCCGCTCCTTTGATCGGCAGCATGTCCGTCTCTTTCCCTTGAGACCTGCTTCTTCCGTCTCTCCCGTCTCTGGAGACCAGTGTCCCCGGCTCCTTTGATCTGCAGCATGTCCGTCTCTTTCCCTTGAGACCTGCTTCTTCCGTCTCTCCCGTCTCTGGAGACCAGTGTCCCGCGCTCCTTTGATTGGCAGCATGTCCGTCTCTTTCCCTTGAGACCTGCTACTTCCGTCTCTCCCGTCTCTGGAGACCAGTGTCCCCCGCTCCTTTGATCGGCAGCATGTCCGTCTCTATCCACAAAGTCCTTCTTGCCGTCTCTGTTCCTTGAAACCTGGTTTGTTCGATCCTTTGAGCGAAGCTCTTTCTGTCTCCATCTCAATAGACGAGGGTTGCCCGCTCCTTTGATCGGCAGCACGTCCGTCTCTATCCACAAAGTCCTTCTTGCCGTCTCTGTTCCATGAAACCTGGTTTGTTGGATCCTTTGAGCGAAGCTCTTTCTGTCTCCGTCTCAATAGACGAGGGTTGCCCGCTCCTTTGATCGGCAGCACGTCCGTCTCTATCCACAAAGTCCTTCTTGCCGTCTCTGTTCCTTGAAACCTGGTTTGCTGGATCCTTTGAGCGAAGCTCTTTATGTCTCCGTCTCAATAGACGAGGGTTGCCCGCTCGATTTTTCATAAATGTGCTGATTGATAGAAATCTTGAGTGTCTTTGGATGTTATGTCCGATGATTCGCTTGTTGGATTGATGAATAACTCACCTGTTTGTCTTCTCTTTTGCTGCTTTGTTTTTTTTGATTAGTCGATTATTCATAAATGTGCTGATTGATAGAAGTCTTGAGTGTCTTTGGATCTTATGTCCGATGATTCGCTTGTTGGATAGATGAATAACTCAATTGTTTCTCTTCTCTTTTGCTGTATTGTTTTTTTGTGATTAGTCGATTTTTCATAAATCTGCTGATTGATAGAAGTCTTGAGTGTCTTTGGATCTTATGTCCGATGATTCGCTTGTTGGATATAGGAATAACTCAATTGTTTCTCTTCTCTTTTGCTGCATTGTTTTTTTGTGATTAGTCGATTTTTCATAAATGTGCTGATTGATAGAAGTCTTGAGTGTCTTTGGATCTTATGTCCGATGATTCGCTTGTTGGATAGATGAATAACTCAATTGTTTCTCTTCTCTTTTGCTGGATTGTTTTTTTGTGATTAGTCGATTTTTCATTAATGTGCTGATTGATAGAAGTCTTGAGTGTCTTTGGATCTTATGTCCGAAAATTCGCTTGTTGGATATAGGAATAACTCAATTGTTTGTCTTCTCTTTTGCTGCATTGTTTTTTTGTGATTAGTCGCTTTTTCATCAATGTGTTGATTGATAGAAGTCTTGGGTGTCTTTGGATCTTATGTCCGAAAATTCGCTTGTTGGATATAGGAATAACTCACTTGTTTGTCTTCTCTTTTGCTGCATTGTTTTTTTGTGATTAGTCGCTTTTTCATCAATGTGCTGATTGATAGAAGTCTTGAGTGTCTTTGGATCTTATGTCCGATGATTCGCTAGTTGGATAGATGAATAACTCACTTGTTTGTCTTCTCTTTTGCTGCATTGTTTTTTTGTGATTAGTCGATTTTTCATCAATGTACTGATTGATAGAAGTCTTGAGTGTCTTTGGATCTTATGTCCGAAGATTTGCTTGTTGGATATATGAATAACTCACTTGTTTGTCTTCTCTTTTGCTGCATTGTTTTTTTGTGATTAGTCGATTTTTCATAAATGTGCTGATTGATAGCTTCTCTTTTGCTGGATTGTTTTTTTTGGATTAGTCGCTTTTTCATCAATGTGCTGATTGATAGAAGTCTTGAGTGTCTTTGGATCTTATGTCCGAAGATTCGCTGTTGGATAGATAATAACTACTTGTTTGTCTTCTCTTTTGCTGCATTGTTTTTTTGTGATTAGTCGTTTTCCAATGTGTTTATGATAGAAGTCTTGAGTGTCTTTGGATCTTATGTCCGATGATTCGCTGTTGGATAGATAATAAATCACTTGTTTGTCTTCTCTTTTGCTGGATTGTTTTTTTGTGATTAGTCGATTTTTCATCAATGTCTGATTGATAGAAGTCTTGAGTGTCTTTGATCTTATGTCCGAAGATTCGCTGTTGATAGATAATAAACTCACTTGTTTGTCTTCTCTTTTGCTGCATTGTTTTTTTGTGATTAGTCGCTTTTTCATCAATGTGCTGATTGATAGAAGTCTTGAGTGTCTTTGGATCTTATGTCCGAAGATTCGCTTGTTGGATAGATGAATAACTATTGTTTGTTCTTCTCTTTTGCTGCATTGTTTTTTTGTGATTAGTCGATTTTCATATAATGTGCTGATTGATAGAAGTCTTGAGTGTCTTTGATCTTATGTCCGATGATTCGCTTGTTGGATAGATGAATAACTCACTTGTTTGTCTTCTCTTTTGCTGCTTTTTTTTGTGATTAGTCCTTTTTCATAATGTTGATTGATAGAAGTCTTGAGTGTCTTTGGATCTTATGTCCGAATTCGCTGTTGGATAGATAATAACTCACTTGTTTGTCTTCTCTTTTGCTGCATTGTTTTTTTGTGATTAGTCGTTTTTCATCAATGTGTTGATTGATAGAAGTCTTGAGTGTCTTTGGATCTTATGTCCGAAGATTCGCTGTTGGATAGATAATAACTATTGTTTGTCTTCTCTTTTGCTGCATTGTTTTTTGTGATTAGTCGCTTTTTCATCAATGTGTCTGATTGATAGAAGTCTTGAGTGTCTTTGGATCTATGTCCGATGATTCGCTGTTGGATAGATAATAACTCACTGTTTGTCTTCTCTTTTGCTGGATTGTTTTTTTGTGATTAGTCGTTTTCATCAATGTGTATTGATAGAAGTCTTGAGTGTCTTGGATCTTATGTCCGAAGATTCGCTGTTGGATAGATAATAACTATTGTTTGTCTTCTCTTTTGCTGGATTGTTTTTTTGTGATTAGTCGTTTTTCATCAATGTGTATTGATAGAAGTCTTGAGTGTCTTTGGATCTTATGTCCGATGATTCGCTTTGGATAGATAATAACTCACTTGTTTGTCTTCTCTTTTGCTGGATTGTTTTTTGTGTATTAGTCGATTTTCATCAATGTCTGATTGATAGAAGTCTTGAGTGTCTTTGGATCTTATGTCCGATATTCGCTGTTGGATAGATGAATAACTCACTTGTTTGTCTTCTCTTTTGCTGCATTGTTTTTTTGGTGATTAGTCGCCTTTTGCTGCATTGTTTTTTTGTGATTAGTCGATTTTTCATCAATGTGCTGATTGATAGAAGTCTTGAGTGTCTTTGGATCTTATGTCCGATGATTCGCTTGTTGGATAGAGGAATAACTCAATTGTTTGTCTTCTCTTTTGCTGGATTGTTTTTTTGTGATTAGTCGATTTTTCATAAATGTGCTGATTGATAGAAGTCTTGAGTGTATTTGGATCTTATGTCCAATGGTTAGCTTGTTAGATCGATGAATTACTGACTTTTTTGTCTTCTTTTTCACTGGATTGTTTTTTGTGATTAGTCGCTTTTTCATTAATGTGTTGATTAATAGAAGTCTTGGGTGTCTTACGATCCTATGTCAAATGATTCACTTTTTAAAAAGATGAATAACTCACTTGTTTGTCAACAGATTACTTCACGGGAATCTTGCTGCGTTGCGAAACGATAGATG